TCTTTAGCCCTCTCTCTCTCGCACTCTCACTCTCTAACACGTTTGCCTCTTGCGTGGCAAAATCCTGTCTTCAACTAGCGTAGACTTTATGTCCTTTACTTCATGCCAAGCAGCATGGCTTCATGTTCTGCTCGTCATCGACATTTCCACCCGTTTCTGCCCCGCCGGCTGCCACGATTTGTTGTTGTTGGATTAACAAGTGTCATATGTGGTTGTGCTGCCCTTGGCACACACCCCCAACCGCCCGTTAGCCCAGTGGTAATGGCAACAGCTCTCGACGCTTTGCGCTCCACTGGCTCGAAGTCTTAGCCAGCCACAGCCTCAGCCTCAGTCTCAGTCTCAGTCTCAGCCTGCAACCGGCGACCAAAGCAACGAGCTCGTCCTTATCCACAGCCCCAGCCACAGTCAGTTGCTCCTCCTAATAGTCCTTGTCTACCTGTGCATATTCTACACATTTAAGTCAAGTGTGCTTTGGAGATTTTGTAGTCGCTTTAAAAACCCACCTCCCGCCCTACACACACACACACACACACACACACACACAATCCTGCAATAATGTGTCCTGGTGTCCGCGCGGGGCGTGTTGCGTGTATTTTGGGCTGCGCAAATGTCAACGAAAGTGCAAATAAAATCTAATGTTGAAATCATTGCAAAAGTTGCCCTTTTCCACACACAAGCACACACACACACTTGTGCACATGTGGAGGTGTGCGAGTGTGTGTATGTGTGCGTGTGTGCTTAATGTCCTTGTCGTTTGGTTTGTCGCACCCGCGTGAATTTGTTTTTATATCAACATTGCATTTTATTGGTCGGTCGACAACTGCGGCAACGCATCTTTTTCCATGGCTCTCAATAGCAATTTACACAACGAGCCCAACACAAGCAAATAGGCCCCATTTTCGCATGTACCTGTCAAATTTAACAAGCACTTTGACATGTTGTCAAACTATGTATATTCAAGCACTCACTCTAGTTTAACTGCTCGCCTTGAACTACACTTTAAAGTTAATCAAGCTCTTTATCTGCCTTTTAAATATTTGACAAGCAGCCTTCGAACAGTGTTGGCAAACAACAAACGGCTTGCAACTGACATTTTTGAATATCCATTAAACAAGGTCTATATCCGCCCCGTTATGCAACTTTATTATTTGTTGGGCGTTGCCACACTTGCTCATATTCGGCAAAAGCAATGAAGTTTAGTGCTTTGATCAATTTGAAACTAGTTCAAAACGGTACCAAACTGGCTCATAAGTGGTTCAGTGTGATGGATTTTAAAGTACTTCAGACACAATGCAGAAATTTGGTCTGTTAAATAGTAAACCAAAACGTATATGTGCAAGCCGCCAATTTTGTTGCTTCTGAGTATAAATTCTTTATTGAAAAACTGAGAAATATGGTCAGAAATTTAAAAAAGTATTCCGTAGAGCTGTTCTCGTGTTGACTTGGTCTTATTGACGTGTTGCTTTGGGTGTGGGTGTGGGTGTGGGTGTAGGTGGGGTGTGTGTGGATCGAGGGTGGTGGGTGCGGTCCTCACGAATATCGAATGATGTCGATTGGCAATTTGCTGCACTTGCCGTGGTACAACTGAATATTGAATATGAAGCGATTGCTTGCGACGGCTTTCTGAGCACGTTTATAAATATTTGATGTGCCACACACACACGCACGCACGCACGCACACACACACACACACACACACACTGAGAGTGCAGTAAAGTGTGTTATGTGTAATTGCGCACTATATACTTACATATCCACGTCCATATTCATATCCATATCCATATCGGCTTGCGCCATAACATTCCAACGGGACAGATTTAATAAAGCGCCAGCACCGACAAGGTATCGCCTAAATTCAGAAATTCATTGTTGGCTGGCCAGATGATTATCCAAGCGGGGCTGAACAACCGCCAGGAGACAGCAACGAGGAGCCAGCAGGAGCAGAAGCAACAATCGAGAATAGAGATGGTCGCGTGTCGCATTCGATTTATTTAAAAACTCAAATTTCTTACACACCCCTTAACAAAATGTCTAGATATTGGAGTTATTATTATATATGTATGTAGTTATTATTCAATTTTGAGCAAGTCCAAAGCTTTTCGTTTAATTTAAACTTTTAGCGTTCTCACCCATTTTCTCTATTTGAAATAAAATATCAGATAGAGCCTTGAAAATGCATTTGAAGCTGTTTGTAAAGAATCTTTTCTCAGAAAATCGGTAAAGATGTATAATGATTGCATAAAAATAGATATGCATGCGAAAATACTAGATACTAAAATAATACTAAAATAGATAATTGAAATTGAAATATTTATTATATTATCTCACAACTCACGCATTCCATCGCTTCACGCGCTCATCTCTTGTGACAAACGTAACAAAAGGCATCGTCTCAGTTTTATTTTTACCCCCGTTAGGGCTGCACAATTCCCACTCCCCCCCTCCCCCCCGTACCCTAGCAGCCCCTCACCGTGCTACACCCATGTTTTATTCAGTGGAGCCGCTTCGGTTATTGTATATCGGTGGCGTTGCCGCAAATAGTTTCATTTTGTAGTCATTGTATTTTCTCCGACTCAGCACAAAGCCAACCAAAATTGGCATAAATATTTGAGCACCTATTTTGCTGGCTGCTTGCGCCGTCTCCTGCTCCAAGGATAAATACAGTTATTGGGATGATATTTCTTCTTCTTTATCTTGTTTGGATGCGAATCGTAATCAATGAAAATGTATCCACTTGCATTGATTCATTTTGCTATATTCAATTAATAGCTCTCGAAGTGGAAACTTTACCACAAAAAAAAAAACTCGACGTAGAAATTGTTCTGCCCTAAATAGACCTTAAGTTAAATATTGAAATTGAAGTGGTTTACAAATATTTCCGAAAGCCTGCCTTCACAACTTAGTTGATTTCTCAAACATGTTTTAATTGAGATTTGTGCGAATGAGAGAAGCAACAGAAGTGCTCCGAATTTCTGCATTCATGCATTGTGAACGTGTTTGCTCTCGAAGCCTCTTGTCAGTGTTAGGCAATGCCCAATTCTCAAAGAGTGCTGCAAACGGAAGTGTGAGCTTAGCTGTTAAAGTTCTGACATTAAATGCAAGGAAAAGTTTTAAATACGAATAAGGATGTTATTAAACTGAATTAGGATTTAAGGAATGAATTACAATTAGCCACAAAATGTATAACGCTTTGGAGCAGACAATTACAATATATGTATATAAATACCTGATCAGTGTGCACAGCTGAGTAGATATAGCCATGGCCGACTGACTGGCTTTTAGTCTTTTCGAATGGCTATCTTGATTTTTGGAGCACTTCAGCTTTTCTTCTTTTTGACGTTGAGTAGCTTCTGAGTACTGAAATATAAATTCAAAAGTATTAAAAGTGCTTTACCACGAAGCTAAAGAACCGCTTACCTGAGCACTTCATTCCACTAGAGCATCAAAATCAAGGCTTATCCGGCTTAAGTCCTTGGAGATTATAAGCTTCCATTTATAATTTGGCTGGCAGCTGGCGTAAGAGTTCAGTCCAGTTTTTGTAGTGGTAGCTTTATTCGCTCCTTATTACTAGAACAGCTTTCCGAGAACTTGGAATAAATTCGGTTTAGTTGCCAGCAAAATTGTGAACCAGTTCTGATTCGAACCTGTTCGAGGCCTGCAATTTAATGTTTACCATTACAAGATATTTAAGTTCTTCACATCAAATATAATTGGAAACATTTAGTCTAGGGGCTAAATTATAAATAGGCACAATCATAATGTAAACCCGTTTGTTTAGTTGGTTAATTTAAATTAAATTAAGTTAATGACTTTGGCTGAATGTAAACGAGCAAATATCATTCAGATATGAAGTGCACTACATATATATATATATAAAGAGAGTGCGACTGGAGCGAGTCGGGTTAAGGGTTTATTTGTTGAGTACTTAAACAACAATTGAGCCACATTTCGGATGCAACTCATTTTCGATGTTAAGCCGAAATGTAAGCAAAAATCATGATGGCTTTGTTGCAATTACAAACGCAAAGCCCAGGCCGGACAGCCCCGCCCGCCCGCCCCTCTCCTCAGAAAGCTGCTGCGCATCTGTGTGCATCAGCAAATGTATCTGCATCTGCATATGTAAATGCAATCAAATTTGCAACGGTCATTTGGCCAGCCAACCGTCCAGCCAATCTAACGGCTATCATGTGGCATGTGGCATGTGGCATGGACGGCGCATTTATGTATTCATAAAGCTGCCGCTGCCTCTGCCTCACTGTTGCTGCCGCTGCTGCTGCTGCTGCTGCTGCCACTGCAACTGAATGATGTTTACCTCATAAATAAATAATTGTTAAGCACAAATATATGTACACATTACAGGGGCGTGGGCGGGGCTTGTTTGGACGGCTGCAAAGGGAGCGGCACTCCAACGGGAAACAGACAAATTACCACCAGTCAAAAAGTAGCCGAATTTTCTTTGCCACCGGCCACCCTCAAACCAGAGACCAGTCATAAAAAAATTTAAAAAATAACCAAAAAACCAGAACAATTCATTTTGCATAGCCGTATATTGAATACCCTTCTTCGGTGTCCCACTAATGTCATACTTAAGGTGTACTCATTATAAGAATATTATATATATATATATTATATATATTATATTTAATATAGTGTACAAATCAAAATTTTCGTGATGTTAAACATAAAATACCCTAGCGCAATAATATATAAATAAATTGTTTGCTTTTGATAAAAAAAAAAATAGTTCTTTGCATTTAACTAAATGTTAAAAAGTTAACTTTAATTCAATTTCAACCTTCATCAATCTATGAAAAAAGGTTAAACAGTTCGTTATTGTTAACCAACACTGCACTACACTGCACAACACAACACAGCCAGGAAAAATGATTTATTGTGCTTTTAGTTGTTTTGTTTCTTTTAGTTTTAATTTTTAGGTATTTATTTTATATAAAACTTACCTGAGAGCGTGCTAATAATTATATAGATTCTTGTCCAAAACCGAAATATGGAATCCGCCAACAAATATGATATATTCAGACATATTCAAGAGATTAAGTATTTCGAAAGGCTGCTCCTGTCAGTAGGTTACAAATTTCTTAACAAATTGCTATTTATTCAGTCAAGGGTATGCATAAAATTAAAAAATTAAAAAAAAAATCCCAAAATAATTGTACTCAAATGAAAATCCACTTATACACTGCCAAACCGTCTGTCTGCTTTTGTATGTGTGTGTGTGTGTGCGGAACTGGTTAACATTTGTATACGCAGCTTATGAGAGGATTATGCGCAAGCCTATTAAAAGGTCGCCCGACATTTTTGGTTTGGGCTGCGCGGTTGTACGCTTTCTGGTTGCATGTGCAGCAGGTCGCTAATTGACAACAGTTTGCATTATAAAAAAAAGGAACATTCTTTTGCAGCAACCCCTTTCGCCACCTGCGCCGACACTTCCACGTGCAGCACTCTGTCAAGCAGCCACATATCTTTTTGGCCAATGCACGCCTCATCGAGCTAGACAGCAGCCACAAAGAAACTGCCAAGAGTCGCAGTGGTTAAGACCAAGGAGAAGCAGCCATGAGGGGTAGGCGGAGGAGGGAGAGGAGCAGGAGAAGCGGGCACAACTGGCAACTAAACCAAATAAGTTCCACTCGAATGGCCACAAAGTGTGAAGCATCTCGTAGCGGGCGGCTGACGGGAGACAGGAGACAGCAGACAGCAGATGAAATGTCAGGTAGTATATCATTTTTTAGTGTTGGGCAACCGCAGTGCAGCCGCAAAACGAAAGGGAGCAGCCGCACAGGACCACTGCAAGGATCTTACCCAAAACATGGCACAGAGCCCAAAATACAAACGTTTTCTTGGCAAAAGTGCGCGCCAAGATGATATCCCCTAAAGGAACTTCGACAACTATTAACCTATAATATGTTTCTAGCTTCGCTTCACATGGTTTTCCACCCATTTTCCGCTCGTGACGGTGGACTTTTAAGGATAAAGACAAGCCGAAAGACGTATTCGAAGACCAAAAAAGTTTCATACAACCGCTTTCACTCATTTTCCACTCAGGAGGGTGAAATCATGGATAACCAATTGATCGTATTGACAGATACATTAAATATATATGTATGTATATGCACTATATTGTATATGTTGTATGTTATATGCTTCGAATCTATTCAGTCTGAGATCAATGGAACAGAGATCATATAAGTGGGAATAAAAAGCTATACCTGTGGCATTTGCTTATGACACCTACTGTCGATTGTAGGGTAACAGGGTATATTAGCCCAAAAGCTTGAACCCGAACACAGTATCCAGTATTCGGTGTACCCTATTCGGTATAGAGAAGGAGGCCCGCACTTGAATTAAAGATCTTACGGTACTTATTTCGTGTGCTGAATGCGACAAGTCGTTCCATATGCAGCTAGACACACACAAACGCCTACACACATGCACACGCACACTCACTCACACACACAAGAGCATGCACACTTGTGCTAAACCAATTTGTCTGGCTGCTTGTGGTGCCGTCTGTGTGTGTGTGTGTATTCGATTGTAAACATTGTTGTTGTTGTTTTTATTGCCAGCCCGGTGCGATCGAATAGTTGTCACAAAACCTATCAATATTTTCGTATTAAATCAATTTTAACCATCAAAGGAAATTCCAGAATATCCGCACATTTCTGCTCTGCAATTTCTTGTCGACAACTTGTTGTGTTTGAGGCTTTGGGAAACTGCTCGAGCTGCCCACTGAAGCCACATTACAACTGAGCAGCAGCTGCTGCTGGCTCTTTGCTGTTGCTCATTTGTAGTGTGCGTTGGGGCATTACGAAATGCTCAACAAGTTGGCGACCAATTTAATAGAATCTCAGCAAATTGCCAAATGCTTTGCTGGAAAGCTCAATATGGTTTCGACATGAAGGTCTAGCTTTGGTTAGGCGATATGACTCTTAGAAGGAATGGAATACTTCTCAACACACGGACTGTTCGATGCTTGCCCCGCAGTTCTCAAAAGGGAGAGAACTTTTCCTCGGCAAGTCTACTTCTCATAAGACTGTCTGTAGAAGCTGGCCAAGTTTTTGGGTGGACAAAGCTTAAAGTTACATATTAGCCAATTTGCCTTGTTTTATTATATTCTCTCTATATTTTTAAATTTTTCGAGAATTTTGAAAGTGTGGCATATTAAAATCATCTTTAAGCCAAGTCGACTAGTTTGCGAACGACCACTATATCTTGTATTATTTTGCTTTCACTCTTTCAATATTCAGATTATAATATAAACCTTGTTTACACGTTCTTTGCTCTTAATCCATGCGCACATCTCTCTCTCTCTCTCTCTCTCTCTCTCTCTTCCTCTCTCTCTCTCTCTCGCTTTATCTGTCTCTCTCTCTCTCTCTTCGCAAACGTCTTCCTGACACGCTGCTTGCTTTGACTTACCCTTTGTTTTTACAATCCAAGACTCTCTCTCATCAGTTCTCCTATTTTTGCAATTCTTCAGTTCGTAAAGGTTTTGTTAATTTGTAACTTATGCTGCCTCCACTCTCGATATCACACGCATACGATTGCGTTCACATGAATGATTGATTTTTTTTCAATTCCTCCTTTGCAGCATTCGTAATCGTTTTGGGGTCTTCAAAGCGTGCTTGGGCACAGCACAAATGGAAAATGTCGCTGCTCGTTTTAGAAGGTTTTTTAACATATTGTAGGGTATCTGCGCTTTGGTCTCAATCAACTAGTTGTTTTGCCCTCTTGTTGATGTTAAAGACGCTGTCGACGTCGTTGGCGCTTTCTTCTCTTTGCAGGCTCATAAGAAATTCATAAGTATTTCCGCTTCTGTGATTTTTGATTCAGTAATTAAAATGCAACTGAGATTGCGCTACGTACTTGTGAGTGTGGGTGTGGGTGTGCGTGTGCAGGTGTGTGTGAGTGTGAGTGTGTGTAGTAGGATTTTTCATTTGCCAGGCGTGTATTTGTTAATGTTGTTGTTTGTGTTTTGAGTTTTGTTGATTTACTTCACACACACACACACACACACATGCACACCCACACACGCACAACTTAAGTTACAAAAGGCGTCGGAACTGTTAGGAACTGTTATGCCAGGTGTTCAACTGCTGCAAATGCTTTGGCTATGAAGAGAGTTCGGCGTGTAGTTTTCCAGCTATGAGGGCGCGTGGGGCGTGGGGCATTGTAGCCGAGCTTTGATTGCTTGAAATGGTTTCTAAGCACCTGCCCCAGCAAGGCACGGCAAATGCAACAGTCGCAAAACGCATTATCTGCTCCTTCAGCGGCCAAGTGGACAAGAAGTGGAGGAGCCCAGCAGAGATGGAAAACTCAAAAAAAAATAAAATAGATTCAATAAATGTGTACGTATATAAAATACAAAAAAAAAAAAAAAAACTTTAATAAATATATTTCTGTATGAAATCAAGGTAGTGGGAAAAATAGTAAAAAATAAAATAAAAATAATGCGGAAAATATAACATTCTGCAATTTCATTTACAAAAGTTTATCTACAAGTGCGCGATTTCCCGGCTAGGCTGAAGTAGGGGGGTGTGGCAGGTTGTGTGGCATCCCGGAACCAGAATGCGATTTAAGCAACAAGAAAAAGGCCCCAACTAAGAGCCTTGCCTCTTGTGGCAGCCACAGCAGCAGCAGCAGCAGCAGCAGCGGGCCAAATGAAAGCAAAAAACTAATGGCATCAAAGAAGAAAATCAAATATTGCTCGAGTGCCACTGGCAGAAAAGCCACAACAAAATCAACAACAATATCAGCAACAACATTCAGCGGTTGCCGTGTAAGAAAACATGCAGATGGTCCGTCAAAAGTTTTGGCTGTAACCCGCGAATGATAAACCGCGTCGGAGCTGGGCCAAAAGGCAGCTGGCTGGGCGCGGGGCAAGGTGGCTTGGGGAGGCGCTGCCTTTCGAGGCGAACGAGTTTATATGATTTTGATGAATTTCCGTGGCAACGACGCCAAAATGAAAATGAAAATGAAAATGCTCAGCAAGAGAGACCCAGAGCTAAAGTGGGGCGGGGGCGCGCGACTCGATAAGTAGCAGTTAGGATTTTGCTGCTCAACATCCGCGGTTCAAGACGCTGGAACAGAGTGCGGGCGGGTGCGGTAATCGGATGAGGGAGGCCGAGGAGGATGGCTCCCGAGGGCGGGAGCTGTGGCCGAGCTACCTGCTTTGAGTTTAATATAAGAAATTGCAGTGCGAACGATAAAAATCATTGAAGCTGCGACGGAAAAGCAGAGGGACGGACGGCCGGCGCGATGCTGCAAAATGTGGAGCCCGGAGAGATCGGACCGAGACGTAGCATGGACAAGTGAAGCCACTCGCACTCGCTCCCGCCGTGGCACTGGCACAAAGTAATTTCCTGCAATTTAAACTTAAGAAAAATAAGGAAGCGTCTTTGATTTCCGTGTGAAATGATGTGCGCATCCGCGATTACAACAACAAGTGGAAGAGCTTTGAGGCAGCCAGCGAGCGGAGCACCTGGCAGTGGGAGAGTCGCAATAGAATTTAATGAAGAACTTGCTTGATTTGATTTATTATTTGCTCAGGCCCCGCTTAGCTCCATATTAATATTGGATTATGATCAAGCGACCAAGCAGCATTTGCTCTGGCAAGTGCTCAGCCAAATTAGAGCGAACCGGTTCGTAGCTGGAACTTTCTTTAATACGAAACTTATTCAAACATCTGAAACCTGTTAGGTTTAAAATTAAATACTATTGGGAAGGATCCTGACTAAAAGGATAAATTGCATTGTAAATGATTTTTATAATATATTATTTGTATAATTTTATCACATTGGGTAGATGCAGGCTTTAGCTATATGTATATACAATATGTGGAGCTGGCAACTTTATTTGTAAATGAAAGGGAAATAAATGTAAAATTAAATTGTAAAATCAAAATGTTAACAAGTAAGAGGTTCTAGTCGGGAGCTCCCCGACTAATGTTCTAATGTTCTTTTCCAATTTTCAATTGTCATCAGAACGAAGCTTATCAGACTTTCTTTCAATTTACACATGATACCGCTTTCTTTGCGGATCTGTTCTCACGCTCGGCGTTTTGCAGGCTGATGTCAACTGCCTTGTAACTTTGCCATTAAGTTGCCACGCTCGCCCCTGAACGCATTTGCAGCGATAGTTTCTTTTAACGGTATTCCATTCTATGAGTATTACGTTCTGCTCCCGTTGCCATAGTACGTACTTTGTTAAATGCTTGTTATCTCGCGTTTAAGGAATATGTACTGCGCTCCACGACGGGCTCGTTGCCATTTAGTAGCGCATGACGCCAGTTTTTGAGCTCTTTTTTTTTATATTTATTTTCTTGTTCTTGTTGTTTTTTTTTGTTGTACCAGAGACATTCATTCCAATCAGACACTGGCTACCGATATACCGTTTGTAGGCTCACCCATGCCAGTGCCAAAAAAAATGTCATGTATCGCATCTTTTTCTGCCCAGTTTTTATACTCGTCCAAATGATGAAAGCGAGTATATTGGTTTTGTGGAATATCCGTGTTGTTGCCCCTCCGTTTGACCTTATGCCGTGTGCAATATATCGAGCCACACCTACTAGGGACGGGCCTAGCTTTATGGCTAGAGTCACCAAGTACAGTTATGACTTCCCTCAAAGATTGACCCAAAAACTGTTAGGGTATGCGCAGCTAAGCTGCCTGAAACCGCGAAATCTGCCATAGCTTGGCAGCTAGAGTGATCGAATTTGAAAAGAAGATTACATAAGATTCCAGGAGCACGCACTGAGAGCTGCGTTTATTGGACTGTAAGCGAGCATCGCGCAGTCAGTTACAGCCGACTGCAATATTCCTACTGGGTTTTTTCTTATTTTCTTCTTTTTTTTTTGTCACATTTCGGAAATGTTTGCGCCCAGAGCAGCAGCGGCAGCGGCAGCGGCATCAGCTCTTCCTTCTCCAACTGGCCGGCCAAATGAAATGCCTGAGGGCAGTAAATTTAAGCGGCTGGCAGCAGGAGCAGGAGCAGGAGCAGGAGCAGTAGCAGTAGCCGGCAATGGCCACGTGGCGTGCAGAGTATTTACCGCCATGTGCATAGTTTGCAAGTCTGCGCGGCCGTCGCGACACCTGCAGGAATGGCCGTAGCTGGAGCTGGAGCTAGAGCTGGAGCTCCACTCCGACATGGCCACTAACAACATCAAAAAGTGCCAAGTGCCGAGTGTTTGCCTTGGTCAGCGCTGCCCATGCCCGGCACCGACATTTAATTTTTGTTTTTTTTTGCTCTTTCCCTATTTTTTTCTTTTTTTTTTTTTTGTCACCATTTTTGGCGCTGTGACATTTTCTGGGCTCAGACCCATGCACCATGCACGAGCCACCAGATCCAGACCGTGGCCTAATATGCTAGCCGTATAGTTGGAAGTTTTCTATTTTGTTTTTTTTTTTTTTTTAATTTTTTTTTGTGCACTTGTTGGCTACTCTTTTATGCACATCGATTTTCGCTCAGTGCTTTTTATTTGCCAGCCAAAATGGACAGCGGACAGCTGTAGGGCTGTTTGTTTGTCCGCCGTTTGTTTATGTGCCGTAACTGGGCAGGAAGTTTTTAAAGCGACATTTAACAAAGCACCCAAACTCGGTGGATACACCCTGCTTAGACTTCCAGCTGGAGTGCCAAGAGTGCCAAATACCCAATGCCGGGGTCTGTCTGACTGCCGTCATTCCACGTCTCGACTTCAGATCGTATTCCAGCTTAAATCACAAATCACCTTCTGCTTTGATATATAAGCCAACATTATTTTAAAATGAACTCTACTTTGATCAACAAGTGTTTACTAGCTCAGTTCAATTTGTTACTTCATTCATTACCCAACACTGCGGGTCATTGCATTGTGCTGGCAGCACTGCAGACAAAATCATCTGTTTAGTTTTTGCTCATCTTTCAATAAGAATTGTGACCGGGTCACATCAAGTGCCTTGTTTTTCAAAAATTCATAATTTATATTCACTAACTAAGTCAAGTTGAACACGTCATAGGAAATATATTCTAATTGAGAATGGAAAGAAAACCTAACCAGGTTTAGGGACAAATTCGTTGCAGCACTGAATATATTGTTGCATACATTTTGCAGCACTCAAAAATATGCATTATACAACACTGGCACTCCTTGCACGGGCAATTAATAAAACTATTTTACTTGGCTAACTAAGTTTGTCAAGCTCTGCACATGGCAATAGCCCCACAGCCCCAACCCAGCCCCTGCTCTATTAGTTGGCTTAGTTTGATTGACGGCGTTTGAGGCGGCGGCTACTGCAATTGCGTCTATGCCACCAAATCGGGCAACAAAGTGAAATGCACTTGGGCCTTGAATGTGTGTGTGCGTGTTAGTGCTCTGCATTTTGCAACATTGCATATTGTGAGGCATACTTAAATTCAATTAAGCTACAAAGGCAGTTACACGAAACACAAGGACCACATGCGTTCGTCCAACCGTCGCCCCATAGCAAAACGATGACAACATCGACTACAAAGATGACAATGACAGTGTTGGAAAGCATAACTTTATGTTCTGCAGAAGCTGTCGTAATGGGGAAGAGGTAGAATCAGGGAAGCATTTCTACTGGGTGTGTCCAACTCTATGACAAATTAGATTTCGTCCTCTTCGATCCTATTTCCTTTTGGGTCTGTCAACATTCTTTAAGCGGGATTCAGATTTCAACCGTGCCTCAGCTTCCGACTAAATGTTCCTTTTCGTCATCTTTTAGATTCTGGGAAGAAGCAAAGTCTGATTGAATCGAGGTTAAACTGTTTTCACCCTCGCACTCATTTAATCACAGCTGCTGCTCCTGTTGCCGCTTGTTCGCAATATTCGAACACTTCACGTTGCACTCGGATATATTCAAAGGGTTTGTAATGAAACATTCACTAATAACAAGACCTGGTCGAAGCATGCACCTCGCTTCACATGCATCGCTCTCCTTGATGGAGAATAATTTGATTTACGACCGCCAATTATCAAAACGCATATGAGTTTTATTTTCTTATCTAGATTAAATTGGCAATTAAAAAAAGATTCTTTCAATTTGCCAAAATGCTTTCCGTTTTTCCGTAAAAGGCGCCAATTGGTTTTAAGATGAATTGGAAAGATGATAGAATATTTTTGATTTAAATATTTTCCCAAGGCTGACATGATAAAGCAGCTTTTCAGTTAATTTTCTTAAATACCTTAATATACAGATATATAGGCAATTTCATCATTATTTAAACTAAGTATTTTGAAAATGTAATAAGAAAATGTATTTCTCATAAATGCACAATCTTTGCTCTCAAAGTTAACATTCGACCTCAGGTTTTCGATAATTTGGGGATAGGGTAGTCAGTTATCGATGCATCGAGTAAAATATTTTCCAATTTTGTTTTTTTTTATTCCTTTTTGTTTATTCTTTTTTTTGTGCTCCATGCCTGAGTTGTGTAATGGAGGGATGTGTGAGGCGGGGCGGATATGTAGATGAATGGATAGATGGCTGGTGGGTTGTTTGAGTGTGTGGGCGTGTGTGTGGGCGTGGCCATGTAGCTGCTTTCTAATTTCATTTACACGCTTTTCAACACTGCTCAACATCAATCGAGCTCTATTCAAATGTTTTTCTAGGTGTTCGCCCAACTGGCTGACCGAAAGGACACACATATGTGCATCTATGTATGCATACGGGTAGGTAAATAGATAAAGAATGGCTCTATGCACACACATATACGCGCACACCTGTATTTAGATAGATGTTTTACCTTTTAGCACGCACGCAGGGCTGCATTTGCTGAAGCATAAACCCAAAATGCGTCGCTTGATATCCTCTGCATGTGCATCTGGAACTGATGTTGATGATGACGCCCGCTGCTCTGCTCCTGCTCCTGCTCCTGTTACTGCTGCTGGCACTGGTGCTGGTGCTGGTGCCGATGCTGGTTGCGTTGCTGCTACTATGTACAACTAATTCCATTAAAGCAAGCTCTAAGTTGATTTTCAATTGACTCCTCATTTGAGGAGGGCCAACGTGGCAGCGGCAGCGTCTGCGCTGTCAGCAATCAACATGTTCAATTGAGCATATCCTGCCTGGGCAGGACACAGCCAGAGCGACGCAATGTGATTACCCGACGCTATTTCGTACACACACGACAGCAGCAAGGAGCAGAGGCAGAACCAGCAGAAGCAGCAGCAGCAGCAGCAGCATCGCCCAGGACACAAGGACATCCTTGATGGCGTCTGTCCAGCGGGCGCCCGTTGGTTGCCTTTTACATTTCATTGGATTTTATGCGTTTTACTTTATGCTGATGTTTTTATTATTAAATTTCCCTGAATTTTCATTTACATTTTTTTGTGTTTCGCTTCACTTCTGCTTAAGCTTGCAGCATTGACCTCCCCGCCCGCCGCCCACTTTTCGCTTGTTGTTGTTGCCTGCTGCTGCTGATGACTCCTCTTCATTTTCACACTTTTCATTCAATTTATCGCATTTCGCAAATTGAGTGTCGCTTTCCTTAGATGTTCTGCCCCGGTCTGCTGTATTCCCGTGTTGCCCTCCACTTCCCCGCATCAAACGTGTCCAGGCACAGTCCTGATACCAATTGTGCTATTATCCTCTATCCGCTCGCCCCGCCTCGACTCGTATTTCATAATAAGCCATTTTCAGATCTGCGATTTCAAATCTATTCACTTAAAGCAACAATTCACTTTAAAGCCCGATATGCAAGAACATTTAGATGAAGAACAGCCAAGCCTTAGCCTTGAAGGGAACCATAAAACAAAACTGATCCATTGATATATAAATATTATTGATATAAATGCTGTTTATATATGTAAATATAAACAAATATTCACAGAAAAACTAACATACACGCGCACGATTATATTATATACACATACATACATGCCTACGTACGTACGAATGTATATATACACATACACATACATAGAAACACATATATCTAGCGTTTAATAAACGCCAACACTTGTTAATGTAACACTTAACTCACTGTCAAAGCCTAGACTAGCAAGACCTACCTGAATTCATGAGAATCGCATAGGAGGGCAATACTTGAAAGTGAGTTAATTAGGTAAGTGACGCATATGTTTACATACACGCATACACATACATATATACATACACATACACATACACATACACATACACATACACATACACATACACATACACATACACATACACATACACATACACATACACATACACATACACATACACATACACATACACATACACATACACATACACATACACATACGCATACACATACGCATACACATACGCATACACATACGCATACACATACATATGCCTGCATGAGCTTTTGAGCCTTTCTCACTTCATGGAAGCTTTTCTTCAAAATAAAGTTTATTCCTGCAGCACAGCAGATATTAAACATGGCAGTATACCATTGTATTAAGAGTGTAAATATCTTTGCCCTAATTAAGTGAAACCCATGCCAAAAACCGGCTCCGCTCTGCTCCAGGAGTTGCCAACTCTGCAGTTGAAGGCGAATGTGGGTATATCTCAGCTTGCTTTCAACACCTTCAGCCGCTGCCCGAATCCCAGTGCTGCTCCCCCTCCCAGCTACCGCTGATTCAACCTATTCGCGTTCCAATTCATTTTTCAAGCTACCCGCACTGCTCTGCCCATTCCATCTACACATCCCGACGACCCTTTGCCAGCTTCGCCTTGTGCACGCTTCATTTTTGGCAGCTCATGAATATTCATGGACATGAACGCGGAAAGGCTTGGCTAGCTATCTGGCGGCGTCAGCAGCTGACTGGACGGTGTGGTGCGCTCTGCGGTTACTGGGGAACGGGTGAGGGGCATAACCAGCCACTGCCCTGGCACATTATGCAAGCCATATTTTTTGTCCGCTCGCCGCGTTTACACAAATTGTTCACGCCCTACACTTAGCGCGAGCAAAGACAAGGCCGCCCACCCCCCCATTCCGACCAATTCCCTGGAAGCTGTTCAAGTATGTGTGTGTTTGGTGCGTGTGTGTCTGTCTGTGTGGAGACTGTTTATTATGGGAATCTATCTAAAGTTGGCTACGACTGTGGTTTACGCTAACGGCAATTGAGCTGCTCGTCTCAGTACTGAGCGCTGGCTCCTGTTCCTGCTCTGGCGCCTGGCTCTGCTGCTGCTGCTGCTGCTGCTGCACTTGGTCCTGCTCTGGCGTCGGCTCTTGCTCCTGTATGTAGGGCAGCAGTAGCTCCTGCTCGAGCTTGGAGTTCGGCTTGGCCTTTGGCATTGCAAAGCGTTTCGTCCAGTAGCGCGCAACTTTGTCATGCTCCTTACGATTGCATTTGTATTGATCGGCAATGCCCATGACGAGTGGATCGTTGGGATTGCATTCGCCGATTAGCACCCAAATGGATAGCAGCACCTTGGCAATGTTCATGACTGGCGACCAGCGTTCGTTCAGCACATCGAGGCAAATGACGCCACGACTGTCAACGTTGCAGTGATAGATGCGCGTTATGAAACGGATTTGTGGCGGTCGGAATGGATACGCACCCGGAAAGCGTATGTCTAGCTTAAAAATGCCGCCCTCATAGGGGGTGCCGCTGGGCCCCATTATTATCGCTTTCCAATGGAACAGATCCTCCTTGTACATCTCGGCGCTGCAGTTCGGCGGCGGATTCTCAATGATTTCGTTCAGTTCCCGCTTTATCCGCATTACCGGCCCGTTCAGCTGTGTCATTGGCGTTGCCGAGCCCATTCTGTTGTTGTCGTTGCTGTCGCTGCTGTTGTTGTTGTTTGTGCTGATGGTGGTGGTGGTGCTGGTGGTGTGGGTGGCGCTGCTGCAGGCACCGCGCTGCTGCCCCTGACTAGTGCTGGGCGCATTCTCGTCCTTGTTCGCCTCATCGCCAGCTGGCAGAGATATGGCTGCCATCGTAGCCGACGGCTCCTCCACGGTCATCGTTTCGGTTGTGCTGCCTTTGGCTTTTTGAGGTGCCACGTTCGACAGGTTCGACATGCTTCCGGGTTTTTAAGTTAAACGGTTGTGCAATTTGGAAATTTGTTATTGGAAAAATTGTTATTGGGAATTTGCTGTTGTTTTCTTGCTGTGCTCACATGATTTTAACATACATTTCAGGAGCTTCATCGATTCAACTCAACAAGAATTCGGTTCAAGAGCTACAGGAAGAACTCGAACGCGTTTCGATAAATTATCGAGAAATTGCACAGAGGCGCCAAAAGTCCGTTGCTTACAGTGTTGAGAAGTGTGCTTTGAACACTCGGTAATCGCATTGCAGTGTGCATTAATTTTCTTGTTATAAATATGTCAGTAAGCTAGTTGTCTTTAATCTCAAATTGTATTTTGTGTTGACTTTCACGAAGCGAATGCCGCCCAGGCGGCATTGTCAATAAGCTGACAATCCGATAACTCGCTTGTACCACTAACCAAATAACATATAGACCGGACAAACCGTACTTTTGAGGGTGACATTCGATATTTCTGCGGCTGGTCCAAACTCGCCTTCGTTTTTGTTCGGGTTCGAGACATGCCCGCATGCTCTCAGAAGCAAGAGAGTAAGAATACATATGGCCTGTGTCGGGGAACGGCAACGCTGTCTTTTTACTCGCTCACTCTACAAGAAACTGCTGTGGCTTACTCTCATCCATATGATTTGTGCGATAGAACGGCATCGCTGTTTTTTATCTCGCTCCCACTACAGGAAACTGCTTTAGCTTACTCTCAATGCTCTTTCAATTTGTCTATGTACCGTTTAAATGTTTGTGTGTGTATTTGTCCGCACAAGCAAAAATGCCCAGAAATTCAATTTTTCTCAAAAGTCGGTGGCATATCTTCCCTTTTGACGGGACGAGTAATATGAAATAATGAAAGGGTTTGCCAAGTCGATGCGAAATTCTTTCTTTTTAGCTCGTTCTTTTTCGAAAGGGTACCTAAGCGTTGGCATGTGTGCATTTAAAAGTTTTTGGACTTGCTATTCACGCATACTAACATATTTTGTATATGAATAGAAGCATTTATGCGCATGTGTGCCTGTTGGTCCCTGCCTGCCTGTCCGATCCAAATTTGACAATATTTTTGGACTTCTGAATTTCGAGCTCTACACACACACACAGAGACACAAATGTGTGTGAATGGGCTGATCATGGACGCAAAATTTAAAAATATCATTATTGGCACGCGTCTGACGCGCGCTCTTCTTTTTATGATTTAGGGCTTGAATTGATGAATGAATGTTGACCCCTCATTACCTGTAGATCAAATTCATATATGAAAAAGCTAAATATTTAAAGACAATAAAATTATTAATACTATCAATATATAATTGCTCCTAAAATTAGTTAAGTGATCAGTCACTTGACCTACATATGCAGGTGCAGGTGTTTGCCAAAAGTTGACCCTTTCGGCCCAACGGGCTGCTGCAGGTAATGAGGGGTCAACATTCATTCATCAATTCAAGCCCTAAATCATAAAAAGAAGAGCGCGCGTCAGACGCGTGCCAATAATGATATTTTTAAATTTTGCGCCCATGATCAGCCCATTCACACACATTTGTGTCTCTGTGTGTGTGTGTAGAGCTCGAAATTCAGAAGTCCAAAAATATTGTCAAATTTGGATCGGACAGGCAGGCAGGGACCAACAGGCACACATGCGCATAAATGCTTCTATTCATATACAAAATATGTTAGTATGCGTGAATAGCAAGTCCAAAAACTTTTAAATGCACACATGCCAACGCTTAGGTACCCTTTCGAAAAAGAACGAGCTAAAAAGAAAGAATTTCGCATCGACTTGGCAAACCCTTTCATTATTTCATATTACTCGTCCCGTCAAAAGGGAAGATATGCCACCGACTTTTGAGAAAAATTGAATTTCTGGGCATTTTTGCTTGTGCGGACAAATACACACACAAACATTTAAACGGTACATAGACAAATTGAAAGAGCATTGAGAGTAAGCTAAAGCAGTTTCCTGTAGTGGGAGCTAGATAAAAAACAGCGATGCCGTTCTATCGCACAAATCATATGGATGAGAGTAAGCCACAGCAGTTTCTTGTAGAGTGAGCGAGTAAAAAGACAGCGTTGCCGTTCCCCGACACAGGCCATATGTATTCTTACTCTCTTGCTTCTGAGAGCATGCGGGCATGTCTCGAACCCGAACAAAAACGAAGGCGAGTTTGGACCAGCCGCAGAAATATCGAATGTCACCCTCAAAAGTACGGTTTGTCCGGTCTATATGTTATTTGGTTAGTGCTTGTACCTATCTAATGTGTATCGATAACAACATATCGAATATGCATGGGATCTCTATCGCATGTGTTCGATGAAAGCTTTTTTTTCAGCTTACGTTCTAGAGCGTTGCCATACAATATTATGATTATAGCCCAACAAATGTTACTGTTAGCCTACAAATAGAAAATTTGAAGCAGCACAACACGCAATACATATTTAAAGATAGAACAATACTTTGAATAAATCACACAGTTTTGCCAAATTTGTTTACATTGTGTGCTTGAATAAACCTGAGATGCTGGCTTTTCAAGAGAAGGTAGCGAAAGCAATATTCTCCTGACAATGCCATCAAATGCCACGGATTCAAGGATCCGCCCATTCGCTGTATCGTCGTATTTTCACTTGCTTAAACAAGTCAAATGTTAATGAACTTAAAGAAATTAATTAAAGTGCCACACTAGCATCCACACAGCCAAGTCTCATCTGCCACACGTGTGTGTGTGTGTGTGTGTGTGTGTGTGTGTGTGTGTGTGTGGCGTGTGTGTGGGATGAGTGTTCCGGCGTAGAGCTTAACGCCTGCGACGCCTTTATTGAAAACGACATCCGGTTCGGCCATCAAGCGGCGTCATTGGCCGCTGGATCGTCGCTTGTCGCAAAGTAAATGCAATAAAAGCAACACCAAAAGGGATTGGGCATTCAAGGTGTACACACACACACATTGGGGGGGCGTGGTCTGGCCTGGCCGGGCGCTGACAATATTGCAAAAATGTGTTAATTAAAAAGCAACCAACTACCAGATGCTCTGCAATCTGCAATCTGAAAACTGAGTACAGACATTTTTACTATCCCGCTATCCGAGGATATTCTGTGCGTCGATTCACAACTTGTAAAGTTGGCCAGGCGGGCGCTGAAGACGACGACGGCGCGCTTTAAGATTCGCCTCAATAGTCGACCAATTCGGCAGCGTTTCCACATGGGACTTCTTGCTCCACAGTATGCCCACAGCCACGACCAGCTCCAGCGCTATAAGGATCGCCCAAAGATTGAAGATGAGCTGCAGCCAGAGACTTTGATCGAGCAGCAGCTTGCGCAGATACCAGAATGCGCACAGCAATGGCAGACACAAGGCCAGTGTTGAGAAGAGCAACAATTTGGGACGCGGTCCATGCGGGCTCAGGTTGAGGGTGTAGCCCACATAGATACGCAAGCTCTCGGTGATCACGGCCAATGTAAAGACCAGCAACACGGGCACTCCCAGCTGACGCCACTCCTGCAAAAAAAGAAATTTCAATGAGTACTTGATGAGGTTATGGGAAATCACCTACATACATAGATGAGCATGTAGAGCACATAGCTGACACACCACGTGAATGCAATGTAGAGATTGCCCTCCAATAGGATTTGCAATATGAGATTAGAACGTATCGGCGACACAATATGCGGCATGATTTAAATCTTCTCCACTTAAATCAATGTGAAAACTCTAATTGCCGTGTCCTGCACCAGCCTCGCTTGACAATCCAATTTATCGGCCAAACTTATCGATAGCTCACTTTCTCAAAATGGCGCGCCGATAGTATCGAAAAACATGGCTTGTTGCACAGCACTGTTTCTTGACAGCACTACAGCACAAGTATTATAAGTATTATAAATTTTACGAATATTACCCGGCCTTGCGTGTACAGCAACTATAACTGACTGACTTGGGCGCAAACAATATAATATAATCGAAATGCCGCACAGTTGTTAAGTGTATACGTGTATATATTTGCACATATGTTTCACAGAGCATAAATATCTGAGCATGTTGAATGCTGGAGCCAATGTCCCGCGTGATACCACCTATGGACAGTCATGGCCCTGAACAGTCGGCGATATTGCGTTAAATTAACAAATGAGCCTGACAAACGCACATGAGCCGATGCGATGGACCCCAAAAGCCGTTTCGTCGTTTGCGTGTCAAACAGTTTCTGCACTCTCAGCTTTTATTGAATTCCATTACAGTTTCATGTCAGTCAACCGAGAGCGGCGTTCGTAACGTCATCATAAAAGGATGCTTCTGCACTGACCACCACCCATCACCCACCCCCCCCCACACCCCAGGCGCCACCATGACCGCCCTCTCCCCTTACGTTACTCGTTACCTCCGTTTACCACCGCCTCTGTCCAGCAGCCCAGGCACTTGGCTTGTTTGCCATTTACAGCCGCACGACCAAAATAATGAAGAACAAAAAATAAGAGAGGAGAAAAACATCATTGGACAGCCCGAGTGCCTGAAATTGACATTGTTGTCATTAATGGAAAATTGTTTTAGATGTTCTTACCATTAAGATGTCCATCCGGCTAGTCTAGTCGAGCGCTATGTGGTCTCGTGTCCGCTATGCATATACGTATATATATATAAATATGTTTTATGAAGTGTATGTAAGTAAGTACAAGGGAATATCTAATAGGCTGGGCCAGCTCAATTAACTTTGACGAACAAGTGAGACAAGGGAGCATCTAGTTTTAGACATATACATACTCCACTTTAAATCTATATGGGTCGATTACTCTTGGGCAAAGTGCGAACCGTTACATATGCTATCAATAGTTGGCCACATGCAACTATCGACTATGGCAACAGTTGTAGCTGGCTGGTGCCCGATGTTTACGACTACGTGGCAACGCCGTAACTTGAATAACAGTAATTTTAATGCAATTCTTTGTGGAACTCCGTTACGGCTCACTCCCTCAATAGGAGGAAGCATTTGTCGGGTATGCTGGAATTGGTAGACTTTTGCATTGTTCCCACTGGAACTAGTCTGTACAGTGGTGTACCCTAAACGGGATGCGCATCTGTTGATGACAGCGGCAACTCGGCTAACAAATTTGCGGCTTTGAATGTTTGTGCTCACCATGCGG